AATTTGGACAACTTAAAAGGCGATTTTCTCAGTATTTAGATTTTTTTGTTCCCTCAGATTCCAGATTTTCATATATTGTCCTATTCTAACAAACCATATATCAATGGAAATCGTATTTATTCAGCTTTCGGATGATGTATAAATCTCAATTTCAAAAAATTGACCCTTATGACTGTTTTTGTGGTCCAGGGTCACATATTACATTTAAAATTGGTATATAATATCAACAATATAATATATAATAAACTATACAATACATAATATATTAATGTCATAGTTTATAAATATATAAAATAATATTTTAATAAATCATTAAATGCAAATGCAATCAGAAATCTAATTATTTATTTGGCAATATCACATTTAAAAATGTAATGTACAGTACTAATGAGCTCTTTATACATGAAAATTTAAAGCTGTCTTCATATCCTAGGAAGGGGTATCTTGTAAGGTGATGGTTATTTATGATAGACCTTTGCATCAAAAGTCTGAAACCCTTTGTTCTAAATGTTATGAACATTTTACAAGGACATACAATATTTTTTCCTTTTTTGGGGCCTTTTCATTTAATTCATACAAAAAAAGGCATGATATGTGACGCAGGTATATTTTATAATTGGCTGTCAGGAGGGTCAGGGATATGTAGTATTCGTTATCCTTTGAAAGCTTTAAACATCCTCAGTTACACATTTTTCTGCTTGTGCTCGTAAATCTCTGAAGGTTTAGTCACAATTTTTGTCTCCTGCTTTTGAATTTTACACGGGTGTGCTGTGCTTCAGTGGGTCCTCTTATATCTCGCCTGACCTTTAAACCCGCACTCTGTGAGCACCTCGAAGCCTGTCATTGGTCGAGAGGAGGGACGAGCTCTCCCGATCCTGTGGTTAAGTGTGATTCAGCCCCTCAGAGAACAAGAGCGAGAGCGAGAGGCAGCGTAATGAGAAGCCTGAGAGGAGAGTTACCCAGGACACATTTTTCTGCTTGTGCTCGTAAATCTCTGAAGGTTTAGTCACAATTTTTGTCTCCTGCTTTTGAATTTTACACGGGTGTGCTGTGCTTCAGTGGGTCCTCTTATATCTCGCCTGACCTTTAAACCCGCACTCTGTGAGCACCTCGAAGCCTGTCATTGGTCGAGAGGAGGGACGAGCTCTCCTGATCCTGTGGTTAAGTATGATTCAGCCCCTCAGAGAACAAGAGCGAGAGGCAGCGTAATGAGAAGCCTGAGAGGAGAGTTACCCAGGATGCCCGGATCAACAGCCCTTTGCTCTTATGAGAGCTGACATGCCTGTAACCGTGGAAACGCCACTAGTGGGCGTGGACTGATTGAGGTATACGTAACTCTGATTGGCCTGTATTTCGAGTGCCCGGCCTCTGGTCCACACCGCTTGAAATATTCAAGAGACAATCCGCCGTGTGTGGAGAGGAGACTTCTGGGATGATGTAGTGCTTGTATTTGCATGCATGTTTTGCATGATTCGGATATTGACTGATGTTTCGGCACACATCTTTCATCGGCAGGTGTGCGAGAGATAGCAAACAGAATATTTACAAATTCTGAGGAGACATAAAGTGACGAATACATCAAATAAAGCTGACAGATTCACGACTTCCTAAGAACTGAATGCAGAGCATTTTAATGCTACATATATGAATGTGTAACGCAAGTTAGATGATACAGGAAGTATTTACAGTGATCTTCTGTGTTAAAGACAATGTGAAATCGAAATGGAGAGTATTTATTTAAAAAAATGTGAAATTTGCACTATTTACATTAATGTTTTAGATTTTGGGATCAGTTAAATGTTTTTTATTTAAAAATGATTTTATTCAGCAAGTAAATTGATCAAAAATGACAGTAAAGACATATATAATATTACAAAAAAAATCTATTTAGAGTAAATGCCGTTCTTTTGAACTCTATTCATTAAACAATGCTGAAAATGCATCAGTTTCCACAAAAATATTAAGCGACACAGCTGTTTTTCACATTGATTATAAAAATAAATGTTTTTCTTGAGCACCAAATCAGCGTATTAGATTGATTTCTGATGGATCATGTAACACTAAATACTGGAGTAATGGCTACCAAAAATTCAGCTTTGGCATCACAGGAATAAATTACATTTTAAACTATATTAGAAATAGAAAAACATTGTTTTAAATTGTAGTAATATTCCACATTACTTATAATCAGGGTCGTCTTATATTCGGGCCAATACGGTATATTAGAAATAGAAAAACATTGTTTTAAATTGTAGTAATATTCCACATTACTGTTTTGATCAAATAAATGCAGCCTTGGTGAACATAAGAGACTTCTTTCAAAAACATGAAAATTACCCCAAATTTTAGTGTACGAGGGCAAAAGGCACAAAAAAGTTCAAGTTTTATCCATTTATTATTATTACTCACCATATTAATATTTAGATTGTGGTGTTCACATAATGGTCAAATCATGTTGGCTACATATAAATGCATTATTGTCCTGTTTTAACTGTTTAACTCACCTCCTAGATCTTTTCCTGTGATATTTTGAGACACTCTTCTTTCATTACTCTGAACTGACGCATGTCTGTTCTTTATCTGTGAACCGAACACATGCTGGGATATCAGCGTAGCTGTTTGTTTATCACTTTAGGAGGGTTTGTGTGCGTACGTGATGGATCATGTAACACTAAATACTGGAGTAATGGCTACCAAAAATTCAGCTTTGGCATCACAGGAATAAATTACATTTTAAACTATATTAGAAATAGAAAAACATTGTTTTAAATTGTAGTAATATTCCACATTACTGTTTTGATCAAATAAATGCAGCCTTGGTGAACATAAGAGACTTCTTTCAAAAACATGAAAATTACCCCAAATTTTAGTGTACGAGGGCAAAAGGCACAAAAAAGTTCAAGTTTTATCAATTTATTATTATTACTCACCATATTAATATTTAGATTGTGGTGTTCACATAATGGTCAGATCATGTTGGCTACATATAAATGCATTATTGTCCTGTTTTAACTGTTTAACTCACCTCCTACATCTTTTCCTATGATATTTTGAGACACTCTTCTTTCATTACTCTGAACTGAAGCATGTCTGTTCTTTATCTGTGAACCGAACACATGCTGGGATATCAGCGTAGCTGTTTGTTTATCACTTTAGGAGTGTTTGTGTGCGTACGGCAGTTAGCGGTGTCACTGTGTCAGCGCCGTGCAGCAGATCAGAGTACGCCGAGTTAAGACTTGCACAGCTCATTAAAGATCGAAACGTCAGCTCCTTCATTCATCACTAGCGACCGGGGCCCAAAACGGAGAGGCCCTCGTTTGTACTCACAATCTGACACCATCATTAGCACCTCTGTCTCTCTCTCTTTCCGCTCAGGGCGGCTCGTGAACACTGCTGTTGTACGAATAGAAGGGCTGAGGTGCTCTGGCTGCGTGCCAGCAATGTAGTACGGGGTGAAAATGACTCACTACACACGCAGAATAATTTATCACTCCCGAAAAAGACAAGACGTGCTCCGCCAGCCCTCTCATACTCTTTAATTAGAAGTGTAATTAATCCTCCTCTTTTACATGGAAATCAATCTCAATTCATCTCTCTCTCTTTCTTTTTCAGTGAGCGTCATCTTAAAGGAAAGGAAGGGCACCGACAGTGTAACGCTGGCATGGCAGGGTCCAGAACCTTCTGACGGGACCGTAGTGGAATATGAAGTCACCTATTATGAAAAGGTTAGATGCTTTGGTGTACGCTGATCTTCATGACCTTTTGGCCCTATGTGAATCCTTCTTGCACTGATTGGACATATGGCAGCTCATCGTTCCCTGGGGAGAGAATGTAATGTTAACACAGACATGCTTCATTCGGTCCCAATTAACATTCATGGATCTCCTGTCTGCCAAAAACCTTTGAGGTTGTCACATTTTAGACTTGATGACATTATTGTCCTGAACAAATTACAGAGGCTTTGTTCAAACGGGCAGCTAAAATCCAATTTTTACTTCATCCAACTCAAACCCGTTTCGTTTTTTAGTCTGAACAGACAGAAAAACACATGAAATCTGATATATTTACAAATCCATATGCGATTATGTTTGAAATCCGATTAAAACCTTGTCCATGTGTAGTTTGAAATCCGATTAAATTAAGATTATCATTCTAAATGATCGTAGTTTTTCTGACGTCTTCATTTGAGACATATTGCGTATTGTACGAATAGAAGGGCAATATACAGTATATTACACATATTGTGTAATATATGTCATATTAAGTGTGCAATATTGTTGGCAATTGGGTCTGAGTAGTAAATAATGTGACATACTATGTAGTGAGGCAATTTTTTATGGCCTGTGTAACTGATAAATACACATTAAAATTCTATTGTAATATTAAATATATGAAATATATATTAAAATTGTACTTGGGAATTTTAGTATTCAAGATTTTCCCTATTTTTTGTTTTTCTTCCCTGGCAGATACTCATTCATATAACTAATAAATATATATTAAAATTCTATTATAATATTAAATGAAAACAAATATATATATTTTAAAATTCTACTTCATTAAAATACAATGTGTTCCTCACCTTTTTCTTCACTGGCACATACTCTCATTTTATGGCCTATAACCAATAAATATATATTAGAATTGCTTTCTAATATTAAGTATATATTACATTTTTTATTATATTCAAATACTATTCTGTACAATTGTGTCTTAAGTAATTAAAAATACAATTTAAAATCAATTATTTTAAATGTGTATATATACTACAGGTAAGGCATCACAATATTATAATGTGCCATATGAAAAATGCATATTAATTACAAGATATACTAAAGATTATATTTAACAGTGTTAAACTGTTAAGATGAACTCAAAGTGATTGTTAGATGCACACAAATGTTATGTAAATGTGAAAAAATAGCAGAAATGAGCATGCACAGTTAAATATATCTCCAATATAATTCAATTACTGATATGGTACAGATGTATATCTAGTGCGAACTGCTTTCTGCAGTGACATTTCTATACACAGGGTAAGTGATTTCGTGCAGTCAGTTGTTTAGATCCCTCGGTGACACCCTCCTGTACCGCTGTACTTGGCTGTGTGGCATGAAAACAGGGTGATGGGTAATTATTATGATTTATTCAGGTGATCATTGACTATGTGGCTTTTAAATGGAGCGCACAGATGGACAGGCTTGGCTGCCGCTGTGTCCGCGATCCGTTTGATGCCGCCTGTTTGGCCCATCTTAGATTTAATAGCACCACAGGAAATATGGCAATCCCTCTCTTGCAGGGCGTGGTGTTCCTGTCTGGAACGTTAGATTTCCCTAAGCGAGCTGCCACGTGCCTCTTTAGCGAAGGGCTTACATGAAGAAAGATGAATGGATGTCGATAAGCTGTGAAATATTAACATGAGCACACTGTACGGAATTCTCCTTAGGATTAGATAATGAGAATTGGACAATGAGGCGACAGATCCAAGTCAATAGGATTGATGTCATTTATCTGGATAAATTCCAGTTACTGGAAGCCGAAAAGCTGTCAGGCCCTTAAAAAATGCAGAAATCTGCGGTTTCTTTTCAGTTCAATCCGTCTATGTGAAAAGCATTGTGTTAGCCATTGGCAGGAGGTGCTTGAATGAGCACAAAATTCCATCTGAGCTAATTGGCAATTGACTGATTTGAATCCAATCTGCATGCTTTGTGTTCTTGTTCTTCGTTTTTTCTGTGAATGTAAGTCGATGTATTATGGATGATTCGACAAAGTTAATCTAGACTCCTGGGGTTTGCAGGACAGGAAGAGATTCAGGTATCATTGTGAGGGATCGAGACATCTGTCTTCATTGAAAGCAGCCCTGTTCACTTATCATTCCATTCTTTCTTCTATAGAACCAGCAGGATCAGAACTACACTGTGCTGAAGACCAAATCCAACAGTATGACGGTGGATGGACTCAAGCCGGGAACCACATACATCTTCCGGATTCGAGCCCGTACAGATGGAGGCTATGGGAACTACAGGGGAGAAATTGAGTTGGAGACGAGCCATGAAGGCGAGTAAAAACCATCCTTCATGCACCTTCATAAACCATCCAGAAATGTTTTACCTGTTTAAGATCCCTTGCTTCCAGCAGTGAAGACCTCCTTTACTTCCTGGTGATTGGCCACAGTGTTCTCCTCTAGTTTTAGAGAACTGACTATGAAATCTATCCATGAAATTGTCACTTTAAAATGGACAGTTCTGCTCCTGGATGCTGATTGGTTGATACCATATGTGACAATTGCACAATATAGTTTTATTGCACAAAACACTCGTTCACCATATCACTACTGAAATTGCTTACATTCAGACTATATCCAAAATATACAAAATTATTTTGTGTGCTTAAGAATTCTCAATAAGGCACTTCAATTGAACTCTATTGTGCTAAATTGCCAGTTTATGGTTAGGCTAATTTGCCACATCATGTAAGAATTGTATATTGTGATTATTATTAAAAATATAATTATTTATTGAATATTTGCTTTTTTATTATATTGCTGATGCTTCATTAAAGTAATAAGCCTCTAAAATGACAGAAAATTGTAATAAGGCATGCATTACAATTTTAACATAGTTAGTTTTATTCTTTATTAGAAACCCATTTACAGTGTCCTTGATTTTGTAGATACCTCTATAATTTCTGACTTTGTAAGTGCCACCAAACCCCTGATTTCTTATTCACAGCTGAATATCTTCATATTTTCAAGGACATTTGTTTCGGCCAAACTGTAACCTGTGTCACACGCATGTATTTCTCCATCACATGCCGCTGATTGAATTTCCGATCCGCTGCGCGCATTGAAAGAGGCTGTGCAATATTCATACATGTGAACACGTTCAGTTAGTCCCCTGAGATAGACGAGGCTCCTCACGCGCTGCAGTTTGTTCTCTTGCTGTGGTGTTTGAAGTCTGAACATGTAGATTTTCTGTCAGTGTTCCTCTGAAGTGTGAGCAGCTTCAGCTGAGAGTAGGCAGATGCCCCGCTGTGTTTGTCTCATAGTTTGTGTACCATATAGGACACGCCACCATTCTGTGTGCATAATTAGAGGGACGCTTTCTTAAATCTTTTTATTGGAACATTATCTGGAAAAATTCCGCTTATTTTACATCCCTTTGTTTGTTTACTAAAATATTAGTCATAATTATTTTTGTTTGTGATATAACACTTGTTAATGATGTCAGAATAGTTGCCATGGTATTAATAAAGCATTTTTAACAGTTTCTAATTGTGTTTACTATGTGGTACTATTTTCTTAATTATCAGAGTTGCTTAGACATAGATTGGTAGGTAACAGTAAATATTAATGTATTAAATAATTTTAAAACAGCATATTTGTACTTTTAAACATTTTAAGAAAAAATAAATTAATAACAATTTTTTAAAAATGAATGCAATGGTGAGCACCTGAAATAAATAAATAAACACACACACACACACACACACACACGTATGTACAGTATGTGTGTATGTATATATATATATATATATTTGTATGTATATGTATGTATGTATTTTATACATGCACATATATACATACACATATGTATATATATATATATATATATACACGTGTATATGTATTTGTA